GTTCTCTCTCATCACTGTTGTTTTGATCTCTCTCTCCATTTCCCTCCTTTCTCTGAAATCAATAAAAACATATTAAAAAAAATAAAAATAAAATAAAAGTTTATTGTTTTAGGTAAAAGAATGTTAACAAATTTGCAAACCATGGCTCAATGCCACAATTTTTAAGTTTGTCTCATTTATGACATCATCTACATCTTTATTTTTTTTCCACAAGCAAAGAATATGGAGAAAAAATAATTTAAATGTAATTTATAATTATATGTTATCTTCAGGGAATAAAACCTTAAGAGATACATCAACAAAATTATTTTCCTTTCTCAGTGTTGAACAATTTGATATAGTTAGAAAACTTTCAAGTCTCTAGCATTCCAACTTTTGGATATGAGTATGCCTACTCTTCTAAAACAGCAAATATTTATCCTACATTATTTTTCTAACTGGTAATTGTTCATGTTTATTTCCTCCTTTTAACATTTATGTTCTAATCAAACTCTGCTTGAATTAACCAATTACTTGTATGTGAAATGTCTTTGAATGACAGAAAGAGATTACCTAAGCACTTTAATATTGGAAGACAGAGTCACCTTCATCTCTCTCACAGCACACCATCACAGGCTACGGGCACCTCTCTCCCTGGCTTTGACCCTCTGGAGAAACCCTGAATGCGATGGATAGGCTGTCGGGTCATAAAGGCTCCCGCCTACTCTAAAATTGAGCACTTGTTTTGCTAGCAGCTAAAACCTCATTTGAGAACATTGTGAAGAATGACATGGAATATAGTGTAGCCCAAGGAAGGATTTTATAGATTTTAGGACACAGAACAAATATTTCTCATTCTTTCTGATTAAATTTTCAAACTAGGGAAAGATAGTTTTTATAATTTCAGAATTTTAAAAAGGATGTATAAAATCAAATTGTATTTTTCTTGCTAAATGTTAGCCCAGCCAGGCATGCTATAGAGGTGGGAGAGGGAGGAGGGTTTGTTTTCCTATCAGTTGCACACCCATAGTCTGTAACCTTTGTGCTAATTTTAACAGCTTTTCCATGACTTACGGCAGAGCTGGTATCTGGCTTTCTCTGTTCCTTCAGCCCAGATGCTCTGACACTTTCATTTACCTTCATCAGTGCAACGTGGTGGTGCTATCTGCCACCTTCAGAGAGTTTCTATTCATAGATCTGCGAGCCCCCGAGTCCCAGTGCCACTGACACTGCAGCTGCTGAGAGGCTGACGCTACCCTAAGGACACTGAGAACGGCCTGTGAAGTTTTCTCTTTGCTTTTTAAAGTGAGAATGACCACCAGTCGAATAAATCATCTGGCTCTCATGGAGCCACACGTGTCTATGATGAAAACCGCCTCTCCTTTGAGAGTATCTACACCTTCATGAAATGAAATCTCTTTGCTCAATCTCATCTAGAACCCCTCCCCATCCCAGCCCTCCCATCTGCCCCGTCCGGAGTCTGATGTATAACTGACTGCCAGACAACATAAAAGGAGAAATCCTCTTTAAAAAGTAAGGTGGTGTGAGGAGCAATTTTGTACACTTCTGATTTTTACCCCAATTAATACATCGTTGCCCAACTTATATATAATTACATGTAGTAGACTGCAGCAAAAGTATATTTAGTAGAATCCTTTCTTTATCGCCAAATAGTGAAAAGGCCACAGAGGAAGACAATAGAAACTGACTATTTTTAAAAAAAATGTTTCAAAAGAATCAGAAACAAGTTATTACTTAGGCTTGCCATTTTGTGGTGGTGTTTTTTTCTTGTGTCTTCTGCTTTCAGATAATAAGCAACAGTGCTTAAGTTTAATATTAAGAATGATCTTAGTTACTGGATGAATTAACTGAGAGGATAAATTCAATGTAACTTAATAGTTTCAAATGAACAATTGGTCATTATTTATAATAATCAAAAGCATGCTTATTAAGGGTTACGCATTGAATGATATACAAAAATACAACTGTCAAAACTGTCTCAGTGAATCAACAACCCTGACTGATTTTACAGGGTCATTTTCTAAATTGTAAACCAGGGGTCCTCAAACTTTTTAAACAGGGGGCCAGTTCACTGTCCCTCAGACCACTGGAGGGTCGGACTATAGTTTTAAAAAAACAACTATGAACAAATTCCTATGCACACTGCACATATCTTATTTTGAAGTAAAAAAACAAAACGGGAACAAATACAATATTTGTATTTGCATGTGGCCCGTGGGCCGTAGTTTGAGGACCCCTGTTGTAGACAAAAGGATGCTAACTTAAATTTTGGTGTGGGTATTAGGAACTTAAAATACTAACAAACCCACCCACCATTCCAATTGTGCTCAGATTTGTGATTAGAAGGGAGCTTACCCAGCGAGACAACAATAGGAACTATAGTCAAAGAGCTTAAGAATGGATTTAAACTTATATAATTTGCTAAATAATAATCTGTTGCTTAGAATATCCTTAGTGTAACAATTTACCAGTGGCTTTTATCTGTAATCCCCATACAGTATTCTAAATAAAGGAAGGGTAATTTAACTATTAAGGGACTAAAAGCTTTCATACTATCATCAAAGTAGCTGAAGGGAGCACTTTATTTTCAATACAACTACATGTCATTTTAAGATGTTTTTTAACTATACTACAAATGACTTTCAACCATATTCTGAAGCCAAAATACTGTTATACTTACTGAACACTTGCCATCGTAGAAAACAGTGGTAATAACCTCTTTTTATCTTTAATCTTTCATCTTCTAAGACCCTATCCAACTTACAGTCGGATTAATTAACTTGTCCCAAGACCCATCTATATGTTCGCAAAGCCTACATTCTCAACCAACTCAACCAACTTCTGTTCTACTTTTACTCATGTATCCGTCCTTCACTGCTCCTTACCATTATGTACTACAGAGACTGAAAACCTGGGCAGCATTGCATATGCACACATCTCTGGAGAGAAATATTATTATAGGTATTTTAAAAATTATACAACAGAAGTAATCTGATAGGATTCTGTTAAGTACTCTGTGGCCTGTGTGCAGCTGAGTGTCTTCTGAGATACACTGGGCCTGGCATTTGTCAGATACTTTTTACCTGGGTCCTCAGCTGTGGCCCATCTCGCTGCAGCAGAACATGGTGACTATCTTTTGAAAGTTCACACCAGCTATGTTATTGCTTATGTAAAACGTGCCTCTATTTCCCGAAAGGTTCTATGAAGCGCACAAAATGGCACGTTTCCCGTGGCATCAACACCATGGCTTAAATTATTGCTTGAGAGGTTGCTGCAAGGTATTGCTCGGGAATATTTTTAGATGAACGTACAGTTCGATGTGAAAAGCACAGAGTGAGACTAAGTATTATGTTGACTTTTCTTAACATAAACATCAAAGCATTCAGAGACAAGGCTGTCACTTCCACATTTGTTTCTCTGTCCAAAGGTTCATGGTATATATATGTATATTGGTGGTGAGGATCAGCAAATATACCGCACAGTTCAGGCAGTAATTAGGAAAATGGTGCCATATCTAGTATGCCAAATAGCCCTATAGTGAGCAATATTCATCCCTCATGCTTATCAGTGCTGATTTCTGTCTCTAACAAGTTCGAAGACTCATGTTTACGAAGCAGAGAATACATTTGAAACCACAGCTAAAATAATTACAACTTGTGAAAAAAATAATGCTATGAAGCTCAGAGTCTATAGCTTTCAAAATAACTACAAATAATATGTTGCTATGTCAGTCAATCTATAGTTATTCCTAGTGATTGGGATTCTTTGAGTATTCTTCAATGATCTCCAAATCTGGCTACATATTAGCATTCCCTAGAGTGGTTTTCTAGCTACAGATTCCTAAGACCTACTGAATCCAAATCTCTGAAGGCAAAGCCCAGTGCTTTGTATTCCTAAACACTTCCTAGGTGTTTTGAAGCCAGCCAGATACTGCCAAGTTCATGAGTTGAACCATTAAACAGCATTGTTTTTTTAATAAGGATGGGATGGCGACAAGACACTTGAATGAAACTGTGTGTTCTGGCCACAATGTACTAGAAATAAAAAGGCAAATTTTACTTCTCTATCTCCAAAGTCCTCCAAAAAATGTTATTCTTAAAATAGCTACACTCAACACTCAACACACACACACACACACACACACACGGTGGGGCAAAAGTAGATTTACAGTTTTGGGTACACGAAACAATTTATTTCTGCATTATTATTTATTATTTATCAATTATGGTATTATTTTCCATGTGAACAACTGTAACCTACTTTTGCCCCACCGTGTGTACAAATGACTTATTTTAATGAAAGGAAGAAGAAGGAGAGACGAGACGGAGGAAGGAAACAGAAGAGTGGGAGCACAATAATCCTTAGGTTTCAATTGTTTGAATCAAGTGTGAGGAAGGAATTTTGCACACTATCTCAACATGTCCTGACAAAATTTATGATAATTTCTGTATAATTTCAGTGTCTGTTCTTCAGCCACCACCATGAGGATCCTGAAATTGAGCCCACAGCTGGGGTTCATTTACACTTTTAATAATAAAATGCATTCAGTCATTTTAACACAATGTATGTGTGTGCTAAATCAGCTGACTGTGGATTGAGTATATCGGTGTCAGAGCTACCCATAAAGAATCATCATTCAGAATGGAATATGTTAGTTACACTTTAACAATTCAGTCTCTCATGCATCGTGTTTTCGGGTTGTGTCTAATAAGGTATGTTCCTAAAAGCCTCTGAAGTGACTATTTTTGTATTGAAGATCTGTAGTCTCATAACAGAAATGCCTGGTTTAATGTGGGACTTCCTTGTTGGTCTTGAGCATTAGGTCTTGCTGGCTGAGAGGCATCTGGTGCCACCCACAGCCGTGCATATATCACTCATTCCGAAGGGACATTCAGTGGGTGCAGCGAGTGCTCAGCAGGTTGTATTAGAAGAAAAAGCAAAAGGACAAGCTCAGATGTCAGCAGTACCCCAGCACCCCTGGTGGTGGTGGTGGGGGGGGGGGGGGGGGCTTAGTTCCCTTCAGAAGTGCATTGTTGCTTGGGCCTGACTTTGTGTGAATCTTCCTCTGGGCCTGAAACAGGCCTCAGAAACTCTTTGTGTGGCCGCATTCGGCTCAGAGGTACAGAGAAGTGTTTGATGGGGCCAGGCGTGAGAGGGTGGGATGACTTTCAGTAATGCGGGGAGTAAAAGAGGGTCTGGGCACGGACTACGTAGTGCTCCAAATGCGTGAGACGATAGAAACCTACATGTCGACGTTTTACTCTCTGCCCAGTGCCCTCAGCGAGTCAGGAACCCAAGGAGCCTTCGTGAAATGTGTTTAATGATGGTAATAATCTTGTGCCCTCTCTTGATACCTCACAACCTCAACTATCCTACTTCAGTTGGTAGCAATATGATCCTGTTCAAAACGCCAAGCCTGGTGGTTTGCCAAATTCTCTGTGGCTTTGCCTTTTGTATGTATCAGATTAATTTTGCTTTATTGCTGGAACTCTTGGGAGGAATTTGCAAAATGAAACGCCTTCTGCACTTGTACATGAGAGCCATTGTTTAGGCTGCTGTTCTGCCTTGCTCTGTTTTTCTTGGAGAGGCCCACAATTTTGCATTTTCATAATAAAACACTATGTTCTTGACACAATTGTCTCAGGAACAAGCATGAGACCACAAGAATCACATTAAAAGTGCCGACTCCATGAACCTGCTCTCCGGTTTTAGCCATCGGCAGGTCACACCTCATTGGACAGCACAGAGTCAGGTGCTGAAAGGAAACCTCATATAATTTAACATATAAGAGAGTTGATGAATATCAAGGCAGATTTTAACACTGCCTTTCTCCAGGCATTGAGTATTATTCGTTAGTTATGGCTGCTATTACCTACTGAGGTCCACAAAGCACATCCTGCTCAGTGTGTTTGGGGTACCTATGGAGGTTTCTCACTTTGCTAGATATCAGACTTATTTGCAAACAATGACATCCTCTCCATCAAAGTGATACTCTTGCTGATGAAAGCTTTGGCACTGGTGGCTAGTCATACAGTGACTTCTTCCAATTTGTTGCTTGAAAAAACACTAAAACAGGTACCACATTATATTTAAAGTATCCCTTTTAAAGTGGGGTAAAGCCATTTACCCAGTTTAATACCACTTGATTTCCATGGGACATCCATGTAAATTACTTTTAGGCTGCCTCACTAACATGCATGATGTGTGTGGTAGCCTGTAAGTGAGAAGACTGTATAGATATGAGGCAGATGAAGTACCAACTATCACCCATTGTTACAGCCACAATTCCTAACAGAATGCATGCGGAGTGTATTATGTAGAGCAAAGTAGGATGCTTTTTCACAGCTTCTAAATTCTGTGAGTACAGCTAGCATGAACAGCCATTTTAAACAGCCTTGCAAACACATAGCAACAGTGCAACTATGATGATCGATTGTACTAAATTGGCAAAATGGTAACAGATTAGACCATTGCTTGGGACTATAGCTTGAAAGATATATATAGATTATATTGTATTAAAACTGGAGCTTACATCGTGTCTGTGATATTTAATAGGTTTTTGGCATATTCTTCATTGTGACAATTGTTACAATGTAAACAACAACTTCTCTAAGTAAAATCATATAAACTAAGAAAGAGTTTGTTATTCTTCTGACAAACTGAACACATCTACAGTTTTGGTTTGGGGCCCTAGTTCCATTACCAGATAAGAAAGTGGATTTCCAGCGATGCTTTTAAAATATGCTTCCCATACGTGATCACAGTTTAGAGAGAATAGCCATATGTTTAGAAGAGTTGCTTACACAAACCTTTACAAGAAGCAGGGAAATGGATTGGATTGTTCAGGGAAGTCCCTTTCAGGCTAATGGTTACAGAATGCATTGTTTACTGCCAAAACATGCATTGATTTACCATGTCAGGATAAGCTCTAAGTTACTGTGCAGAATAAGCATAAATGATTCAGTGAGCTGGGTTCCCTCCGAATGCCGTTGTGCTGTGAGAAGCCCACCAACATGGATAGCTACGGGGTCCTGTTCTTGGCACGAGGACAAGGGTGCTCCCATTCCCCAGCAGGGACTAGGTGCCCCTGCCTGTTCCGTGCACTGACTGGACAGCTGGCCCCGCCCCCTGTGAAGGAAGTGCGTTCATCTCCCAGGGCGGCACACTGTCCTCAGTCTACACAGCCGCCCATGAACACCCAGGCCTTCTCGCCCCGTGTGCTTGAAAACAGAGGCCTAGGCTCAGGGAAGAGAAGGCCAGGCCAGGATTCAGAGAGCCCTGGTCCAGATCCCGTCTCACATGAAGAGTGACACATGAGTATCCTCATAAGCCCCAGGGCGAGGACAGAGCTCAACAATGATGCAAGTGGTCACTTTATAACAAATACTTTGCATTTATAAATATGCAAATGCTTTCTAGCGACCCACTTAGAGAACTTAAATATACTAAAGCAGCCTCGCAGACCACATTGGACACTAGTTAATATGCTCCTTTGCTGAGTTAAGCCATAAGCAAATCATAATGCAGCCCAAATCACTGACCAGAAGAAGAAACATGTTGTATTCAGTAGACACGAGCTACTAATGAGTGTATGTACTGTAGTAAGAAAATGGACACCCTAAGGTTTTAAGGGAAAAAATACTGACAGCTCATTAACCTCAATAGAAACTTAGGTTTTAGATCTGATCCAAAATAGAAAATCTCTGGACACACCGTGCTCCTAATTTCAGGTGAGTCTGTAATAATATTTTCATTCAGTGCTAATTATTGGGAGCTGGTCTTCATTTTAGCAGGTCATGTGATGGAAGCCTATTGGCAACTATGGTGATTACTAAGTGAAGGTTAGGGAATCACTGTTTTGAAGGTGATTCACTGAATTTAAAAGCCAACTCAATCCAACGGAAGATGAACATATTTTTTAATCTTAAAGCCATTCAATACAGGTATCTTTCCTTGCTCTTTATTATACATGAAGAAACAAAGTTGTTGGCAAAAGTGCTCTCACTAATGGCAGTATCTAGGCATTCACTCCTGAGAGTGGCCTTAGGCGTCATCCATCATGAAGGGGGTGGGGGAGTGTGAGCATTTCACTTAGTAGGCTGCTGTTTTTTAGAGTGCAGTTCAGTACCTTATAATAACTACCTGTATTTGTGAATGCAAAGTTGAAAAGCGTTCAGTGAAGATAGCATTTGGGTTTGACTGATTCTTGATAGAAGATGGCAAAAAGGATCTTTCTTTAATCTCAGCTACTATTAGGAAATTCCATTTGCTCTGGGTCCCATGTTACATGAATTAAATCTACAGGATATATTTACTAAGCAGATGTACAATTCTTTCTCAGCATCTGAAATTCTTGGTTATATGTGTCCTCAAGTCTAAGCACTAAAGACTCTAGGTAAATAAAACTATATTCGAAGAATAGGTTAGAGTTACACTATTTACCAACTATACAGTAACAGATTCAGGACATCTAATCATGTTGTGTGAAAGGTAATTATCTAGAAGAGATATGTATAAAAATAGGTAATATCCCTAAAATATTTTGCTGAGTTACAGTTCTTCCTGCTGGGAAGCTTACCACACTGCCATGATATATGTATGAAATGTCTATTCAGAAAAAACAAAGTTAGAAAATATCCTTCACATACCACCTCACTAAATGTAGGAATATATACTAAAACTGGCTGTCAAAAGTGATACAAATATAAAGGGAAAGATATCTGTATGTGTGACAAACAAGCAAACATGAACGCTATTTATCGGTTAGTTTTGAAAGGGGGCCCATACTTGTAATTAAAATATATATGTGACCAAGAACACTCCTACGTATGGACACGCCTTGTTTCCCCCACCCTCCAGTTGTTTTTTAATTGACAGTCATCGCCCGCCTTTTTCTAGGATTATTGCCTGACATCACAGAAAGTCCGCTGTTTGTTCCCAACGAAGCAGTGAAAGAGAACCCCTCGCCACCTTCCCGTCGTGCCCCGTGTTCTGGGCTTGTGCTTTTGGAGGAGTCTTTGATCTGTCGCACGTCTCAGAGGCTTGTCTCCCGGAGGAACATGGTGCCGATGTTGTAGGAAACCTTTTTGATTCTCGATGAGGAAAGAGAAGGCTTTGGCTGCCTGGGGCCAGTCCTTACCTCCAGGAAATAGCAGATCCCAGGTATTTCCTTTGGAAAGTTGTCGGGAAGGTCTTCACGGGACCGAGGAATGAATGTGAAACTTTCTTCCCGTTTTAATAATCTAAGAAGAAAATACAGATAATGTGAATCTAATAAGCAGGGGAAATGCACATGCATGGACAGACACGTTAAAGACTCAGGAACCCAATCAATAACTGTGCTCCTGCTAATACCTCTATTCTTTGTATAGATGTGGCCTTCACGGGATTCCTACCACTAGGAAACGTTACGTCTCAGGAAAGATCCCTCCATGTTGTCGTAATAATAATAAAAACAAAGCTGGTCCTGGTACTACTTGAAAATATCTGTTCAAATTTGATTTTTCCCCTAAACAAACTGAGGAAACTGCATAACACATGTTTTTATTCAAACACAAAGGATTTACACTCTATGTTTTAAATCTGCCCAGATTCTACAGCACTCTTTTTATGTTTTGTAGACACCTGCTAAGCTTTAAATGTGTGTCCTGTGTCCTGACATGTAAACCAAACATTTAACTTTGTAGAACAATATTCATGATTCCAAGTATCTCTGGTATATGCTGATTCCAGGCAATACGCATTTCTAACCTCACTAGCATATTTGTCCAACAGCTGACTTCTTCCCTTCCAGTCACACTTAAAGACTCTTTGCTAGTACCCTGACACTGGTTTTACTCTTTCCCATGAAAGGTTCAGTTTGATACTCATGCCTAAAGATGTGGCCCTGCTATTCAATTTAATTCAACAACTCTTATGGGCTGCTTCTTACTGCCCAACAAAAATCTTCTAGACACTTCAGAATATAATGATAAGTAGAACACAGCCAAAGAAGCTCAAAGTTTTATCAACAGAGATAGAAACAGGGAATAAAAGGAGCAGGAAATAATCTTATATAATAAAAGCGTAATATGCAAATCAACCAAACGGCAGAACAACCAGTGGGCAGGGGGCAGGGCCGGCAAGCAACTGGCGGCAGCCAAGCCAAGGCCCATGCCAGCGGGCAGAGAGAGGGGACAGCGATGGGAGGCGGGGGAGGCGGCAGCGACCAGCAGTAGCAGAGGGGCAATGGGGGGGTGGGCGCCAGCCCCTGATCTGCTGCCAGCTCAACTCCCGCAGAGGGAGACCAGACTGCAGGGAGCAGGCCTAAGCCATCAGTAAGACATCCCTTGAGGGCTCCCAGACTGTGAGAGGGCTCAGGCCAGGCTGAGGAACCCCCATCCCCAGTGCACAAATTTTCGTGCACTGGGCCTCTAGTTACTGAATAAACACACAAAACCACAGTAATATAAAAGTCATATAAAAGAGAATGGGCTAGATGCCCCAAGAAAAGTAGATATTAAAGGCACTGAAGTCTAGAAGAGAAAAAAAAACATTTGTAGCAGAAGCTCACAAAGTCTTCCTAGGAGAGACAGCACTTCAAGATGCAAAGACTTCCAACAAGTGAATGTGGAGTACAGCAGATCAAAGGTTTAGAAACAAGAAAATTATAATCAGGATCAACACATTTCCAACCATGTGATACCCTCACAGAATAAGGTCAGAATGAGCGCTAAAGCCGAAACAGTAAGTTAAGACAAAGCTTTGAAATCCTAAACTACAAGTTTAGACTTTATTTGGAAGGCATAGTGGAGCCAAGCCCATCACCTTTTTCCTAAAAACAACACATCCTCCTAAGACAGGTTAATGTTAACAAGCTATGCAATGGAAGAGGTGGGTTGAGGAAATGAGCCACTGTGACAGAGAGAAGGCAAAGTCAAAAGAGGCAATAAGAGGAAGGAGAACAAAGGATGTGTGGAAATGTAAGATCACTGCACAAGCAATGATCATCATTTATCCACTAAAAAAAAAGGAACAAATAATCATTCCTTCTCAAACATTCTTGATGGACAAAACATATTCTCTGAAAATAACAGTTGGTGGTACTAAGAATTCTTATAATATGAACAATCTATATTTACTTTTATGAACCACAGTTAATAGTATTTTGCTTTGTAAATAATTTTAAAAAGAAGTTCTATTTCACCATTTCTTTAAAAATAGGATATGATGATAATAGTAACTTGGGGTATAGGAAAATGAGGCTTATTCTAACATTTCAAAATTCTTTCAAATGCCTTATCTCATTACATCCACATAAGATAGCTCTATGCCAAAGCCAGACATGCTCTTCTCTGACAAATATATGGAGAGTGAAGGTGAATCCAGAATAAATCACAGTGATTTGCTCATGGAAGTAACAGGACAATGGGGACACTGGAACTGGAACCCAGATCTGTAATTCCTAGTCAAGCTTAGCCCTACAGAAAATAATAAGACTACACTAAGATAGCTTTCCAACACAAAACTAAACTGAGATATAGCTTGGGCCCAATGGCAATCATACGGAAGTCATCAGTACTGGGTGCTTCGTTTTTGTTTTAACAGATGTTGATTTTCTTTATATATCCTGTATCGTCAACCACTTCAGATATATGTTCAGATTCCCTAAACAATGGTTTAATTTAACAATGAATTCCACAACAATTTTGTTTCACTCAAATAGAACATCTATCGATGTGCAACATGTGGGTGTCAATCAGTGATATCCATCAACAGACACTTGTTGAGTGCCTGTTGCATGCTAAAATTGTACTCTGAAAGGAGAGGAGTAAGTGGGGATGCCCAGAATGAGTTAATACAAAATTTAAAAGACAAGAAATACTGATAGAAACAAATTAGCAATACAAGACAGCATATGGTAGCCCACATGACACAATTCAAAGGAGGAAATTCTGTAGGAAAAAAGAAGAAATGATGGCTGTGGATCTTAGTACAAAAGACAAGAAGCAGAGCAATGAAGTTCACTTCCACCGAGTATAAAATAGACCATAAGCTCAATCTTTCCAAGTTTCCTTAAGGACCCATAATCAACAAATAGGAGAGAGCTACATCCCTCTCTCCCGATATATATTTTTAATTTATCTTTATTGTTGAAAGTATTATAGATGTCCCCTTTGTTTGTTTGTGTGTTTTTCCATTGATGCCCTTCACCCCGTGCCCCCCTCCCAAGCCTTCATCACTGTATTGCCTGTGTCCATGAGTTATGCATATCTATAATAATAAAAGCATAATATGCTAATTAGACTGGACGTCCTTCCAGATGACCTTCCAGATGAAGCTGGGGCTGTGAGGGAAGCCCGGGTCCCAGGTGCCAGAAAGAAGCCAGTGATAGCAGCCGGGGGACGGAAGGCCTACTCTTGCACGAATTTCGTGCATCGGGCCTCTAGTGTACATATAAGTTCCCAGATAATCATTCCCTTCCCAACCCCCACCCCTGCCTCATATTTTAAGCCTTCTAGTTTCTCTCTTCCATGGTTGGTTGTTTCACCAAGGTCTTGATATTTTGCTATAATTGGAATATTCTGACACTGAACAATAAACTGGGTTACATCTATGAAAGTACTTGTAAATGACTAAAAGAAGGGGGCAGGCACTGCTTTGGATGCCACAAGTTTAAAATAATTCACTGCACTTTGGCTGGGAGGAAGCTCTTCATAATAAATCAATCTTCTCACAATTTAAATACATCTCCTACATACTGTGCCCCCAAATCACAGACAACAAGCTTTCATCAGGTCTTATTCTTTTCCAAGTAAACATTTTGATATCAATAACTAAATACAGTGTTACCTTTCAATAATAAAAAGGATAGCACACAAGGATGAATGGGCCCAAGCTCCTGTGATATCCAGGGTTTAGCAGCCTTTACAGCTATGAACACTGAAGGGCAATATCCAGATTATTTCCAATAGGACCATCTGAATGAGTTACTGGTGGGCTGTGCAGGAGGTCAGGGGAGGCGTTTCACACAGCTTGCCTGGTGGTGATATGAGTCACGGTGTGAACAAATGATCAAATGTGTATGTGGGGATTAGGGATTTAGACACCGGTCACCGCATAGCCTCTGATCCCCTCTGAAATGTTACAGTAAGTCCAAGTCCCTGGGCTGGCTTTCAAGCTCGGCCTAACAATCCATTTCTTCAGCAACTCAGGACTGATATGGAAGCTTACATCCTTCATAAATCTAAATTAATCCTCGGCCGTAATCCCCAGCTGGTTGATGGACAACCGGGGAGTTTCAGCCACATATTTAGTGAGTATTTAGAAGCCACACAAATCCTAGTTTACCTGCCTGCCACCCTTCCTCCTCACAACAGAGTTTTTCTACAAATTGATTTTCGAGATGAAAATTCACTGCTGCTTTGGATCAATGAATGTCCCCCAAGCATGGGAGGGGCGCAGGGTGCCATGGAGGCTGGTGGGTCTGCTCCCTCACCACTGCAGAAAGGGAGCTGCTCTGACTCAGTGGGCTCTTGGGCGCCCATTTCCCCTTTTTCTCCAACAACCAATTTTTGTTGTTGTCTTTTGGTGGGATGGGGTGTTGTCTGCTTGTTTATTTTGATTTCCTCTTTCCTGTTAAAGGCACTCAACAAATGACTAATATACTTGAAAGTCTCTAAGTGTGAGGCATTGAAATTTGTTTGGAAGTTTTATGTGTGGCAAGATTTTGTGGCATGGTGGGTTTCCCCTGACCATTGCATGTGCATGCTGGAGGAGGGCTACATTTTTCTGTCTTCATTACCAGTTTACTATTGTTTCAGAAGAGATGAATGAAAAATCCAGGTGGTCGATCTGCTGTGGTAAATTAGAAGTCTTTGTTGCTAATTATTCATCTGAATGCATTTTTGCTAGGGAATGCATTTGGACTCTATAATGGCATTAGCTACTATGTCTTTGAGTCTTGGAGAATGATGACAGTTGTGAAAAATTTTTAAAGATAAAGATTCCTTGTGTTTTCTAAGTGTTCTGTAATTCCTTCATTTTTTCCCATGCACCTTCTTCTTCCCACCTGAGTGGAGAGAAGAACTAATCTGCTCTGTGTTTCTGCTCTGTGCTTCACTGCTCCAACACCTGATGCAGTTTGAAGATAAGCCCCATGAAATGATAGTTATGAGTCAGCTAGGCAGCAAAAATTCCATGAAATTCAGTGACTCATCCCCTGGAAATAAAACTCCCATCCAGATAAGAAAAGTAAGAATCT